ATGGGTTAGCCTGGTGATGGGTATTAAAGAGGGCACGTTCTGCGGGGAGCACTGGGTGTTATGCACAAACAGTGAATCATGGAACACTACATCACAAACTAATGATGTAATGTATGGTGATTAACATAACAATAAAAAAATTTAAAGAAAAGAAATAGAGCCTCGAGGAAAGATGCAGCGTGCCCTGAAAGCTGGGTCTGGGGGGCCCCTCTCAGCCCCACACTGAGGACGAGGCCGTGAGCCTGCCTGCTTCACCCTCGAGGGCCCTTCTCAGTCTTCTCTGCGAACTGGCCAGTCCGCTGAGCGACACCACTACATCCCAAGAATTAACAGGAGCGAAACACGGGAACGCCACCGATCAGGAGGAAGCGGTCATTACCACAGAGGAACCGAATCACAGCACGCGGTGAGACGGGGCAAGACACAGACACAGTACCTCACGGCCGACATAGGAGCTGTTGCTCTCAAACAGGACGGCCACGTAACGGCTATCACGGTTGTCCATGAGAGAAAGGATGTCACTGGGCCTTTTAAGAGAAACAAAGCGGCTTTTAGCGCTTCCAAGAAGGGTGAGCTGGCCATCATACGCCAGCACCCACATCACTTAATGCAAATCCATATTTTACAACATTAAATTCAAGTCCTAACATTCCCTTTTTCACGCAACTACGCACCGAACGGGGTCCAGAGGCGGGCAAGCAGGAGGCCTGTCTCCGTCCGTGTGGTTCTGCAGGAAGTCGATCATTGTCCGCCTCACGGTCTGCAGCTCTCGGTCAGGCCCTGCGGGGAGGCAAGCCGCCATCACCGCTACGTCTGCCCCGTGGAGCGCCACCGCCCCAAGGCCCCGGAGCGCACGGCACAGACACGGCAGGATGCACCGATAGCCATCAACAGACCGTGGTAGGCGCACACGACAGACCACACGGCAACCCGCGTGGGAACAAATGGGCACCAGGGGCCAATCTCACACACACAGCGTGGAGACAGAGGCCGGGAGCACCTCGCTGCCATCTACGCCAAGTTCAAAACATGCCCGGCGACCCTAATGGAGAACGGCTGTCACTGTGGACTGACTGGTAGCACACTGAGCCTGAGATGAGCACTGGCTCCCCAGGGGGCTCGCTCATAAAATTCATTAGGTGAGCATGTGGTTTGTGACCTTCTCCAAATCTTTTTTGAGTAAAAGAGCTTACTTAAAAAAAAAGAAGATTTCACCGTCAAATTTAACAAGGAAGGCAAAACACAGAATAAAAAGTTGTTGCCGAAACTACAAATGTTTGAGCTCTTCGAGGAAAGATGGGTCAGAGGTGCTGATGCAGATTCGCTGAAGCTGGGGTAGGGGCCCCACAGACCCCATCACATGGGCTCTCTGGTCTCCTGAAACCACCTTTGCTTTAACGGGTTTATGAGGCGACTCTGACAGTAAAATATAAAGCTTGTCCTTACCTTTAAAATTTTCTCCAGTTGTAAAGTCCTTTGTAAATGCCTTGAAATACTAAGAGGAAAAACACAGAACAAGTAAGAAACAGTCTGACTTGGTGTCTGTGCAAATGTTTAATCTTTAAGCAAGAAAACGGCCACCATCTTAAAGAGTGAGAGCTTTAGTTAATCTGCTCCAGAAAGTTCACGTTGACTGATAAGGAGCTGCACATTTCTGTGCATGTCTGTGACATCAGTGTTTCTGAGCAGACCCACTGGGTGTGGTTAGTACCTGTCGGAGTTCTGTCAGCTACACTTCCTGACCCAACAGGGCTAGAAGCCAGGCCGCCTGGTAGGCGCTTTCCCTGATTCGCGACATCAATACATATCTTAACGGTAGGCTCGAGCGACACAAACGACTTACAGGGAGGGTGAGCAGAAGAAAAGAAACTATTAAAATTAAAATCCTTCTTCTCTAGAAGAGATGCTGAAGAAGGTGAGAACTGCAAACCAGGTGAAGATACTCTCAGTTCTCACAACTCAAAGAAAAGTCAGTGTCAAGGACGCGTACAGGACTCCTGTGAATCAGTTAAGAAAACTGCAAATACCCAAGAGCAAAATGGGCAAACGGAAGGAGCAGATGGGGTGACACAGGGCCTGTGAACAGAAGACATGGCCGCAGTCACACAAGGAGGCGTTCTTAGGGGACCGAAGCCACAGCCAAGGTTGCGGGGTGCTCTCAGAACACCTGTTCAGCACGAGAGAGAAGGCCCGGAGCTCACACCGAGCACAACACTCTGCGTGTGCGGCTAAAACAAAATAAAACTCAGACAAGAAAGCCGAGGATGAGTTACGCGAAACTCCAGAGGAGCATCACTGGGTGGGGCGGAGGCGTGGCTGCCACAAAGCCCAGCCACGTAAGCAGCTGGAAAGCATTGGGCTGCAAGCCACACAGAGCACAGGGTTTTAGGAAGACTGGGGCGGGGGCGGGGGGGGGCAAGCTTCCTCAGAGGCTGCATGTTTTCTGGGATGTAAACACCGCCCTGATGCACCTGTGTGCCCGCACGGGACCGCAAGTGCACACACGCATGTGAGCACAGACCCCGCACGTGCTTCTTCAGAATCTTCTCAACAGGTTTGTCTGTTCTCTGCTCACAGGGGAAGAAAGGGTAAGACCTGCCTGAGGGGCCACCCACAGGTACCCGCCAGGTGTCACTCTGACAACCCGACCCACCACATATATGGTGAGCCAACGGCGCCGAGCCTGACATGGGCCACACACGCAGGGGGGTGGGGAGGAGACACCTGGCCCGCGGCCCCGATGGCAGCCCCAAGCATGCCCACGCCCACCGGGTCTGAGGGCCGCAGACCTCGCCCTCCTCTGCTGCTGCCGTGGGGTGGGGGGCTGGGTGTGCACATACAGCCCCCCAGCCCCGGCAACATGCACAACCCAAGAGGGCAGAACGCTAAAGGTGACCCCGTGTAAATGAGTTCCTGCTAAGTCCCAAGTCACATGCCCCATGTGCCCAAGTGTAGGAGTTACACATGCAGAAGGCGCCCCTCCGGTGGAAAGAGAGAAGAGACGGTGGGAGGAGAGCAGGCCCGCGGGAGAGGGCAGGGGTGCTCACCCGGAAGGTGGGGTAGAAGTGGATGTTGTAGGCTCGGCACACCTCGTGGTTCTCCTCCTCCGCGCAGTCCAGGGCGGCAATGCGGATGGCAGCAGCCCAGTCTGAAAAGCAGGAGCGTGACCTTTAGTGTGGGTCTGGGCCCACATCCACGTGGGCCACCAGCCCACGCCTCCCCCAGGTCATGGATCCAGCCCTCGCGTGCACAGAGCGTTCCTGCGTCAGGCTGGGAGAGGGGGGCAAAGCCTCCATGGGCTGGAGGTGTCTCCCATCACGGACAACACGGCGGACGGACTTCTGCTGAGGGTGCAAGCCTAATGAGGGTGCTCCTAATGGAGCACGGCCCTGCCGGACGGAAGCCGCCGTGCTGGCCTTGTACAGGGCCACCGAGAATGCGCCTGCAGATGGAGAGGCCCGGCCCTGCACGTGTAGCGACACTCCCGGGGGCACTCGTGCAAATGAGAATCCGAGGCCGCAGCGTCCGAGCCGCGGTCTTTCTGGGAAGTGGTTTCTACTTTCCCTGGACGCCTCCGCCAGACCCTTGAATGCGGTCTCTGGTCCTGGGAGTAGAACAGGAGCAGTTTTAAATATGTATTTTGCCTATCTTTAAAGGTTTTCTTGTGGGAATGTCGCCACATGTGAATATCACAAGGTCATACCAGCTCCGGCCAGGTGGCCCGCTCCCAGAACTGCCCTGCTGCCAGGTCACAGCCGGCGGTGGCTACGGTCACACCGAGTCTCACACACACACACACACACACACACACACACACACGCTCTACTCAGGGTTCGCATCTCCCTAAGTTTTGCTGGTCAGGAGGCTGCGACTGGGGTGTGTCTTCTCATCTACTGCTCCGCTACCCCCGCACTCCCTGTCGAAGACCCTGGGTGCCCCCACTGTCGGGGCCGTGCTGACGGCACCTCTGTGCCCCATCTCCTGCAAACTGTGTGCACCTGCATGGTGACTTGAGCCTGATGCTCTGGGGAGATGGCTTCCCAGCTGCTGTTGTGGGTAGGTGACCTCTGGCTCGCTCCCTTCTTCCCAACAGCACCCCCCACCGAACGTGGGCGGCATGTCATCTCACCCCTGCATCATGTATGGACGGGACACTCGTGCACAGAGGAGCCTAGCTCACAGCAACCCTGAGGCATGGTGCACACAGGGAGACAAGTGCTTGGCTTGGCCCTGTGGTCACCAGTCTCAAAGGCACGGCTTCCCCAGTACCCTCTAAAAAGTAAGCTTCTCTCTTTTTAAAAGATTTGCTCCCTTTCCCTAGGATGTTCCGGTTGATACCACCGAACATCTCCAGGCTGCTCGGGGGGCACCTGGGGAAGCAGGGCAGAGGAGCGCAGCCATCTGCGGACAGCGGCACAACACTCACCGCCGAGGAGCCCCAGGCGGGACCCAGGCGCTCCAGACACTGGTCTGGAGGCACGGGGCCGCCCCGCGGGTGGGCGGGTCCGCTCCTGGTCTCCTGCAGCCAAGGGAGTGCTGCATGGGGGCTCACGTGTGTCTCACTGAGACCCTGAGGAGGCCCTGTGCTGCTATGGGTCCTCACAGGACACCACCAGTCTAAAGCAGTAGTCTGGTTAAAAAGCACATCACGCAAGTTTGCTCTGGGTACTGGCTATGATCTGGAACTTCAGAGGTTCCATTAAACACGTGCTTGGGAGAAGAGAAGACACTGGCCATGACGAGATCCGTACCACACGAGCACTCTTAGACATGGTCAAGACCATAGCTGCCAGTTTCCCATCTAACGCACCACTTGTGCTAAAAGATCCTCACCTTCCTTCTCTGTCCTTGCAAAAACATTTACCAATATCAACGTGATGGGAAGAATCAAGTGGAAAAAAGCCGCAGCTGGCTTTCACCACCAATGACCAAATACTGTTCGGCTCACGTTGCCTCCTTGAAACCAATTCCTGTCCCGAGGCCATTTCAGATGGCTCGAAACAAGAATCACAGAACCTTCCTGAACCACCGGTCACATCTTTCTGGAGTCTCGAATTACATGGAACTAAGGAAGAACAGTTAATACTCTCATCCAATTAGTGCAGCAGATGGCCCAGAGCATGCAGCTCAGCGCCGTGCCAACAGCGCCCTCCATGGCGGCGGCCCCCCACCCTGCACACAGCACCCTCCACCCTGCATGCGGTGCCCTCCACGGTGGCGGTCCTCACCCTGCACGTGGCACCCTCCTTGGTGGCGGCCCCCCACCCTGCACACGGTGCCCTCCACGGTGGCGGCCCCCACCTTGCACGCGGCACCCTCCTTGGCGGTGGCCCCCCACCCTGCATGCAGTGCCCTCCACGGTGGCGGCCCCCACCCTGCACGTGGCATCCTCCTTGGCGGCGGCCCCCCACCCTGCACACGGCGCCCCCCACGGCGGTTTCCACTGCCCTGCTGGGGGAGCCTTCCCCAGCCTGTCATCCTCGCTTCTCTTCCCATTCATCTTGCCAAAACGCCTCCTGTTTGCTACCTCGTCCCTGTCTCACAAACACAGGGTTTCACTGTTTACTGGGAATTTCCATGACACATTGTCATTTCATGCTTAAAAAAACAAAAGCACCCACTGCCCAGGAAAAGTATGTAAGAAAATGAAGAACTGCCCTAAGGGCTAACACTGAGCATTTGGTGGAATCAATGAATAATCAAGCCAGACCAGTAACAGGGAAGAAAAATGGAAAGAATGCACTCCAAGATGTTCGCTATGGTTTGGTTTTCATGGTGGGACTTGGTCTGACTTCTTTGTTTTTCAGATTCTTCTTACTAAGTGTGTCTCACGCACAAAAGCGAATGCATCCCCCCCCCAGTCTGCAGGGTGCTGGCAGACACTGTCTTGTGCGCGTGCACCCTGCAGCTACTTGTGCTATCCCCCCCCCCAAGTCTGCACGGTGCTGGCAGACACTGTCTTGTGCGCGTGCGCCCTGCAGCTACTTGTGCTATCCCCCCCCAAGTCTGCAGGGTGCTGGCAGACACTGTCTTGTGCGCATGCGCCCTGCGGCTACTTGTGCTATTCCCCCCCCCCAAGTCTGCAGGGTGCTGGCAGGCACTGTCTTGTGCGCATGCGCCCTGCGGCTACTTGTGCTATCCCCCCCGCCAAGTCTGCAGGGTGCTGGCAGACACTGTCTGTGCGCGTGCACCCTGCGGCTACTTGTGCTCTGCTCGGTTTCTACCCTCCTGGAGTCCCCGGTGTAGAGAGGCTCCAAACAGCACTCTGCGAAACAGATACCACAGGTCATGACGCTGCAGATGACAGTGATCCTGACCAACCCAAAGCCACGGCGGCACCAGCCACATTTTAATAACCCTCCTGAGTCTAACACGGTGCGAGAGACAGTGTGAACACACTGGCTTCCCGTGTGGAGGTAAGAACGGCTGTCAGCCCTGCCGTCAACAACCCGGCAACCCTGAAGGCAGCATCGGGTGCTGCTATGCCCCCGAGAACTGGAGGCTGTCAGGCTGTCCGGCACCCGCGCCCCAGGCTCAGACCACAGCCCCAGATCAGAGTAAGGCCTCGAAAGCAGCTCTGCAGCGCAGCCCCCCCCCGCCCCCGCCGTGACTGTGTGACACAGCGGTCACGTCCATGCGCCCAGCTCTGAGCACACGCAGGATAAAGTCTGTGTCCCCGGGCAGCTGCCAGTAGCCAGGCTCCCGCACCCCCTCCAGACCTACTGTGCTGACTGGGCTGCTCGCTTTCTAGGCAGAAACCCCCACCCTGCCGCCAGGCCCCAGTATCTGCCAGCTGTTCCCACCTACTGTGTTCCCATGATAAGAAAGCAAACATCTGATCAAGATTGAGCTATGTGATTCTTCAAATTCTAACCTTATTGGAAGGAGCTCCAGGGGGTGGCCTAGCCCTCAGCAAGGCATGCCCATCTGCAGGCAAGATCACCTCCTGTGTGTCCTTGGAACCTCACCGCACTTGTACCCTCATCATCTCTTCCTCATTCACTCCCCCCTCCCCCAAGCCACAGACAAGTCTAGGCACATTCCTGCCCCAGGACCTTTGCACGTGGTCTTCCTTGGTGGAACACACTTTCCTCTGACTTGTACTTGCTGCTTTATTCATCGATTTCAACACAAATGTCATCTCCATAGGGAGGCCTGCCCTGATTCTCTGCCCAGGCACAGTTAAAATGGCAAGAAAAGCTCCCCACCAGTCTTGCTTCCAAAACAAAGTCAACTACATGGTACTTTACAAAGCTTTCTTACCAAATCATCTACTGCGGAAGTCTGCTGGCTGAAACAGGCAGGAGGTTACAGATGAGGAGGCTGAGGGTCAGAGAGGCTAAGGAATCTGCCCAGGGTTCAGAATCAGCTTGCAACACCATGTCACAGGCACACGGCGCACACACAGCACTAGTGTGCCGACCTGAACATTCTCAAAGTGCTGCGAGGGGCCCCTGGGTGGCTCAGTCGTTAAGCGTCTGCCTTCGGCTCAGGTCATGGTCCCAGGGTCCTGGGATCAAGCCCCACATTGGGCTCCCTGCTCCGCGGGAAGCCTGCTTCTCCCTCTCCCACTCCCCCTGCTTGTGTTCCCTCTCTCACTGTCTCTCTCTGTCAAATAAATAAATAAAATATTAAAAAAGAGTGCTGCGAATGTCTCCCTTTCTCCTATAAGCTCCAGATGAAGACACTCCCTCCTTCAAATCCAGCCCACTCCCGGCCATGCAGCGCACACACACATGCTCCTTCAAACCCCACATGGTCACGCGTGGAACGAAATCAACCACGTCATCAAACCACTTCCTCAACGAGCCTCTGCACGGTGTGTTTCCTTGTTAAACATACAGAAAACCGATTCCTTAGAAAAACAACTCATCCTTGTATTGCCAACACATTTTCTACTGCCTCTCCACCCAACCAGGGCCCTCTCTGCACAGGCAGGAACCGTGTTCAGTGGGCGTGGAGCCCCACCCTGAGCCACAGGTGCAGCCCAGCCGACGGCGCCCTGTGCAACGACACAAGAGCTCCTTCCCGCTCCCGGGACCCTTACGGCTCGTCCGGACGACACAACACCGTGTGCTCTGCAGGGGCGGCCACATCACCTCTTGCATCCTGTGCAGGACTCAGTGTTCTAAAAGCACTCTGATCCGT